GGGCTGCACCTGCCCGACGGCGGCGTGGAGGGCGCCGTGCTGGGCAACGGCAAGCCCGGCAAGCCGCAGTACGGCCGCGGCGAGCTCTCGGCGCGCATCGCGCCCGCCTTCACCGCCATCCTCACCTCGCCCTTCCCGGCCTCCGGCATGCCGGTCAAGTTCGACCGGACTTTGTACAACGGGCACAATGGCTACAACCCCGTGACCGGCATCTTCACCTGCCCCGTTGCCGGCATCTACTACTTCGCCTACCACGTGCACGTCAAGGGGACGAACGTCTGGGTGGCGCTTTACAAGAACAACGTGCCCGCCACCTACACCTACGACGAGTACAAGAAGGGCTACCTGGACCAGGCGTCCGGCAGCGCCGTGCTCGAACTCAAGGAGAACGACCAGGTCTGGGTACAGATGCCCTCGGACCAGGCCAACGGGCTGTACTCCACGGAATACATCCACTCCTCCTTCTCCGGGTTCCTGCTCTGCCCCACATAACGGCTGTTGGGCACATTTCCTTTTTACCCACTCTAGCCATAAACTATCTTTTTTTTTTTTGATAAAAAAAATAAAATTAATACAAAAAAGAAAAAATCACTGGGAAGAAGGTGCCAGCCGTTGTCGTGGGACCTTGCTTCGTGCTGTTTGATCCATGAGTCAAGAGGGTAATTGCAAAGGAGACATTTTTCTTTCTCTTTCTTTTTTGGGGGAGGGAGGGGAGCGCCCTTCTCAGCGCAGCGTATTTGGAGTGAATTTTACCCTCGTGACTGCACGTGGACCACAGGAAGGCGCCCAGGAGGGCGAGGATCTGCTCTGGAAGAGTCTGGAAGAGCCGACCCTTGCGCTCTGCAGGCGAGCGGCCTTGCTTCCCGTTTGGAGTACTAACCAAATAACGGAGCTGTCGGAACGGGTGGGCTTTTTGCCAGCGAACGCAGGGGTCCTAGGCACGTAGCACAGATAGATACAGCAGCAGAGATCCTTGATGGATCGAGAAATTTCCCTCCCAAACCATCACATGCCCAAGGTTCAGTCTCATGGATACCTATTTTTTTAGACGATGTTGACACACTTTCTCCGACTCATTCCAGACTCAGTGTGGTTGGATTTATAAGCATAGAAGTGCAACCCTTTGCATAAGCACCTTTTTGTAATAAGTAAATGTTATTTTTAACACTCCCCCCAACATCTTTAGGATAAAACCATCCAGGCATTGCTGCCTTGGAGGATGACAGAGCTATTCCAATGCCCGTCAGGGAGGTTGGGACCCCCGTGACAAACTATGACCCTCTGTCTTGTGTTAACTCGTCTACTGGCAAGTCCAAGGGCTAGTGCTATTCTGTGTATTTCCCTGCAGCCCAAAGACTTGCTCGGCCTCGCGTGCTGCTCTGCCGGCACCGGGACGGCACGCGAGCCGGCCGCACGGTGCTTCTCGCCTGGCTTAATGGAAGGTTTAGTTGTGCTTTCCTGAAAGTGCCACTTACGGACAACTTGCTTTTAATGCCTTACTCTTTCAGGATGTGTAAACTCCGGCATTGGCATTTCCCCCTTCTTCGGGGAGCTTTTCATTGTGCAAAAGTAGCGTTCATTCTCACTTTCCATTCAGTCATTGTACAACGGTGCTATTGTCTACTTAACAATGTTATGTACAAGTCTAGTGCAATATGTATCTGTAAAAGTGCACCATTCCAGGTGCCCACCTGTGACTTAGGTTAAAAAAAGAATCACATTTGTCTGTGGTTTCCACTTTGTCTCCCTAATGCTTGAACCGTCATTCATCAACCTGAGCGTGAGCTGCAAGGTCCTGGGGAAGGGGCTGCAGACGCCGGCCCCGGGCTGCTCTGTCCTCTGCGAACGGGCACAACTCAACCCTGTCGCTTTGCAGGTTCTGCTCATGGTACAAGAGTAGCTGACACTTGCACTTACAGCTGGGCGACTCTTCTCATCCCAGGCCAGTAGAAAGCTGCTGAAGTCGATCCCCACGCGCCACCCGAGTGTCCCTCTGCCAACGCGTATCCCCGAGAAATCAGCAACCATTCGGTCACCAGCTGAGCAACTTCTGCCCTCAAATCTCCGTAACGCCTATAACACGGCCAAAGAACAGAAACGGAGCAAGAACGGGACTTGGGATTATTCTCCTGATTGACTGTAGAAGATATTTAAATGTGTTTTCTTTTTCTGTTTATGTCTTTTTTTTTTTTTCTTTAAGCCTATCTTGCCTTGTGCCTCTTGCCATCCAGGGCTTCCTCTTAATCATTCACCTGCCCTTGAAATTAAGAAACACAGACATGAAATTGAAAGGCCGGTGCTTCAGCCCCTCACCCTGGCTGATTGACTCGGTTTCCCACGGGAGCTTTCCCTGTGGAAACGCAGCCCCCGCGTTGCTCATTCCATGCGTTGCTCATCCCTGGGACATGGGGGTCTCCAGGTCATTCAGGTTTTGACTGACACCGGTTGCCTCCCCGCAGGAAAAAGGAGACGCACAGAAACTACAAGTGCTCGGATGTTCCCTTGGAGCCCAGGCGTGGGCGGAGGGCTCCGGGTGAGGCCGGTGTCTCCTTTATTCCCGAGTTTTTCCTGTGGAGAGCAGCAATGGGCTGGAGCCGGCAGCACGAGGCCCGGCCGAGCGCGGAGGTCCCGGTGCCGCCCGGGCAGGCGGCTTCCACGCGCTCCAAGATGCGCCCCGGGGTGCAAGTTTAACGCTGTTTATTCAGCAACTCCATTTATTTATATTGTGTTCTAACCTACACTTGATCTTTTCGTTCTGTTGTTTTATTCCAAACTTCTGGTTCTGGCTGGCAAAAAGCAACAACAAGAAATACTCACTATAACCAAGCGGAGACGTGAACCCGCTCGGTGCTGCAGATACCGCGTCGCAATTTCATTTTCCCTTCGTGTGCAGAGCGTAAACCATAACCAACCTTCCGCAGCTAATCTAACCCGTTACATTTACACAGCAATTGAAAGGCAAAGGTATTGCACGCACATAGAGTTAGGCTAGAACGATGCCCGGGACGAGGGAGGCTGTTCACTAAAGCGGATATTGCCGGGAACATTCCTCTTCTGGAGTACTGAGGACGCGACATTTGCCAGCAGAAAGGATGATTTCTGTCGTGTGTGTGAGCGCATGGGATTTTGGTTTCAATCACAATAATAAAAAAGGTTGGGTTGGATGAAGTATGTCTATTTTTAATTATGAAAACTGCATTACAACGTGCATTTTTATATACAAATCCTTACTATTTTTTTTAAATTTGCCTCTAGTATCTTCATTTCTAACCTAGTATATAGAGGTTTTTAGTTTTGTAAATACTTATTACGTGCACTGCCTGTCATAGTAAAAGTTGGTTTAAAATGCACTCTTGTTGTGATCAGAAACTGGCCTTCTCTTCAGAACTAAAACTACAGTACCTGATTGTATTGACAAAACACCAATAAAACTCCTTGTATAGAAGGCGGCCTGGGCTGTGTCTCTGCTGTCATTGCCCGGCCCGCAGCGACGCGCAGGGGGCTCCGGCCTGGCCGCGTCTCGGGAACATCCCGACCGTGTTCCGAGTCCCGCTGAACGAGGAGGGTGTTCCGGACCTGCTCCCCGACGTCTCCCGGCCCTGAACCCCGCGCTGTTGCTTTCCCAACTCAAGGGGCCAAAGTCAGATGTTCCCCAAATCAGTGTCACAGCTGAAACCCAGAAACGCAACTCCATGACTTGACAGAAAACACAACAGCAGTGGCTAATTAGCAAAGATAACTAAGTGACTTTATTTCTTCCGACGTCTCCCGGCCCTGAACCCCGCACCGTTGCTTTCCCAACTCAAGGGGCCAAGGTCAGATGTTCCCCAAATCAGTGTCACAGCTGAAACCCAGAAACGCAACTCCATGACTTGACAGAAAACACAACAGCAGTGGCTAATTAGCAAAGATAACTAAGTGACTTTATTTCTTTCCAACAGTCAGAGCTGAATGTCAGTGTGCAGTTAAATTTTGGCCTAAATCTGTTTTTAACAGAAATATGTCCATTCTTTGTAGGTACCACACATCAAACATCTTAAAGCAGCTTTAAAAGGAGATTTTCTTTTTTTAAGTAACTGTCAAAAGCATTGACGTCTCTGGCAAAGCAATTTGAAAAAAAATGACATTTTACAATGTAGCTCTGCAGCACAACCCATAAATATATGATAGACCATAATTCCACATGTTCACAAGACAAGATACTCACATGTATACAAGGAAAACCCATTAAAGCATCCTACAGAAGGCCGGTACTTGAAGGAAGAAGAGCACAAGGAAAAGGGGGATGACCCTGTCCCAGCCAGGCGTTCTGCAGCGCACGCGGCTCCGCACGCACAGGAGCCCTGTGCTCACACCGACAGGCACAACGTTCCCCTCCGGATCCACAGGAGTGCTGGAGACATTATGGAGAGTCACACTGTCACATTCAAATCCATAAACATCTCCATATGATGACTGCTTGCCTCTTTCCTTCTGTTTTTCATTACTGGAGACCCTATAACCCTTTTTAGACGTGCATCTGGCTGTATGCAAGCTCAGGTCATTCTCTCTGACCAGCTCCACTGGGCAAAGGTTTTCCACTTAGAGCTGTGGAGGGCAGCTTTCCTGGGAAATCTGTGGCCACTCGTACCAGTTTCAAATGTAGAAATTCTTTTAAACTCTGACACGGTCTCCCCTGATTGAAACCTGCCTTTCCCTTTATTTTCAGAAGATTCTTACCACGTACGTACAGTTTTAAAGCTGAGAAAGGCAACTCCTGTTTCCAGCTGCAGTCATTTTTGTCACTGACAGCAGCACAATCAACCATTTACCCTTGTGCAACATTAGGTCTCCCAACGTATCTCCACTCACAGGTTTAAACAGAAATCTTGCTTGGTGCTATGGATGACATAGGATGGGATTAAGAATGCAGGATGCAAGGATTAGGAAACAAAAGGAAATGTCAAGAACGGCTGCAGCAGTGTGAAAGTCAGCTATCACAGTAATTATAATGACAGTGACACAATGGCACAACAGTGGGACAAAGCAGAAACATTACGAAGAACCGGACGCAGCTGTGAACGCCCGTGGAGAATCACTGCACCCTGCAAGGCGCCAGCGCACCCGCTAAAACGCAACGCCGGGAACGTCCCCCCTTCCGCGGCGGCTCCTCCCGGCTCCCGCGTCCTCCGCGACGGCCTCCCGGGAGGCTCCTCGTGGGCGGGCGGCTCCACCACGAACCTCCGGGCAGGGAGCGGAGGTGCCGGGCGCTGCTTTGCCCGCGGCAAACGGCTCCCGCGGGGCTCAGAGCCGCTGGCAGTAGAGCTGGTACAAGCTGCTCGCCAGCTTCTCCGTCTCCTGGAAGGCCTCGCAGCTCTGCTCCCAGCTGGGGGGAATCTGCTCGTCCCCGTAGTAAGCGCCCGCGATGGCCCCGGCCATGGTGGCGATGGTGTCTGTGTCCCCACCCAGCGAGATGCAGTAGATGATGGTCCTCTGCAGGCTGCTGTAGTGCTCGGGAATGTCGGGGTCGGCGTCCATGCAGCGCAGGAAGGAGTAGATGGCGGTGGGGACGGAGCGCAGAGCCGCGATGCCGTTGCCTGTGAGCAGAACCAGACACCCTCAGTGCTGCACAACACCTGCGTTCTCCTTTCCACGGGAGCTCCTTCTTTTTCTTTTATTTGTAACTTCCTACCGCCAGCCACTTCCACTATTAGTATTACTGATTTTTAGATGACGACACACAAAAGTGAGCTCTCCCCTCCTGCCCCCAGCTCCCAGCACAGACAGCAACTGCCAACACTGCCAGCACCATCCTGCCTCCTGCTCGTATCCCAACACTTGTAATGAGAAAGGTACTTACCCAATTCAAACAACACGTCCGCTTTGGGAACACTGCTGAGCTCCAAAAATTCCTTTATCTTCTTTAGGCGCCTTGAAAATGGTAAATCTTCAAATCCTAGCCTGGAAACAGGAGTACAATGAAGAAGAGAGAATGCAGAGAGAGAAGTAAAGACACGCGGAGGGGTCAGTGCTCCTTGCAGCTACTTACGCTCGGGCGTCACTAAGAGACTTATCGTCGGCCTCGACATCTTCCATGTGGCTAATGAGCTGCTCCAGGAAGCTCTCCTTGCTGAGCTCTCCCTGCAGCGCGAGGTGCACGGCCAGCGCCTGCAGGACGGCCCCGTTGTAGCCCAGGGAGTTGGCATGGGTCAGCTCAGCACTGAGCTTTGCAAACTGGCGAGGAAAACACCATCAGCAAAGGCAGCCGAGACATCAGGGTGGCACCCGCGCGAGGGGGGACTCCCAGGGCCAAGGAGCCCAAACGGGCCCAGAAGGTACCTTCTTCACATCCTGGACATCGGAGTAGAGCAGAGGAATGCCTGCCACCCTCATGGCACCGCCGTTTCCGTAGGAGCCCTTTCCGTTGAACTGGGCTCTTGCCGGCTCAAACACATCGCTGCACTTGGGGCTCAGGAGCTTCTTGAACACGTTGACCACGGCCATCCCGTAGCCCCTGTTGGGCTCCTTCTTGTACTCCTCAGCAAACCTGGCACGGACGCAGGCGAGAAAAAACCACCCTGGATATTCGATCAGTTACTAACGCTTTATAAAGCCAAACTGTGACAAGGCAAACAGGCTGGGCGGACAAACCAGTGATGGCCGGGGCCCATCTGATTCAGCTCCATGGGGGAAGAATCAGATTCGCAGGACTGGTGTGAAAGGACAAGAGGGTGCACAAACACCACCTCTCCCAGCACACTTGTCTCCCTTTCAACTCTGCTTTGAAACAGAAACAAAGGGGAAACGTTTTCCCGGGTCACAGCCCCGCAGAAACGCTTTTGTTCAAGTTCATTGGAAGTGTTTTCTAAACAAATAAACTTTCGCCCTTAAGTGGAAGCAAATGTTATGACTGCTGTGGATCCAAAGGGGGAATGGGTCATAAATGAACCGAGGCTGACCTCACTAATATTCACTAACCAGACAGAGGGAAATATAAACATAAACAGCAACAAACAGCACTGGAGATTCCCAAGCGTCTCCTCCGCGCAGGTAAAGAACCACTCAGAACAGGGCGCGCTGCCGGCTTCACTGCAAGGCAGATTCCAAACCCTTATTAAAGCCAATAATCCTGCACGTCCCAGGGCAGGGCAAGGCCCACAAGGAGTTCCAGGATGAACCATCACTTGTTGGATTTTTTCTCTATAAACTTCACACTGACGGTGTCTCAGCCCCTGCCCTCGTCCACAGACAGCCAAACCGGGGCCGCTTTTGCCGCCGCTGCCGAGCGTCGCGCCCGGCGCCGGGGCGGCCCTCACCTCTTGGCCATATCGACCTCGTCGAAGTCCCGCTTGGCGAGCAGGGACCGCACCAGCGCCCGGCTCATGGCCGTGTCGTCCGTGTAGGAGAGCGTTTCTGCAAGACAAGGACACGGCGCTCGGGAGGGCTCCCCGCGCCCCGGAGGCTCCCGGAGCCCTTTGGAGAACCGCGACGGGGCGACCGGGAACGAGAGCGCGGGGCAAGGCCGGAACCGCGGAGCTTGGGCACGTTGTCCCCTGAGCGCGCGGCGGGGAGCGGGGCCGCGCGGGAACGGGAACGGGAACGGAACGGGACGGGGAGGCCGCGGC